TAAATACAATTTTTATTTGGAGACAGGATCTCTCTAGGTTGCTGAGGCTGGCCTTGAGCTTGCTATCCTCCTGCCTCAGCCTCCCAAGTCTCTGGGATTGCAGGGATAGGCCATCACACGGGGCTCACAACTTGTTATTCAAGGAAAAGTGTGGGGTAGGCTGCTGGCAAAGAAAGAAGAAAAAGAACATTGAATATGCAGATGGACTCTCTATGCAGAGAGAGAAAACTGTCGTCCTACAAACAGATTCTAAACTGTTCATATGTTTGTTTACCCACAGTTTGTTTCTTTTTTTAAAGAAGAATTGAATTAGTTGCCAATTTAAAGAATTCATATTTGTATGAATTTATATTTTACATAAATACCCAGAATTTTCATTTCTCTTGACAATTCTGCCGGCGTCCCCACACGGCGAGTCTTGCTCATCTAGGCTGGGACTCGCTGCCTCAATCTCTGGTCTGGCCCCCACGGGTGTTTGAGGTGGAGACCCCCTCCCAAAACTATTAGCAAATACTATAGATAATTGTTTCTTTTTAATATTATGATTCAATACCCATAACATAAAGTTTACCACTTCAACCATTTTTGAGTGTGGGCAGTTCAGCAGCCCTGACTGAGCACACTCTCACTCAGCCTTCACCTCCACCCACCTCCAGGGTCCTTGTCATCTCCCCAAAACGGAAACTCTGCTCCCACTGAACATAATTCCCCATTCTCCCACTCCTGCCAACCCCTAGCAACCAAATGCTCTGTGCGCTTGGCTACTCTAGCTCCCTCATGTGAGCAGAATCATTTAATGTGTGTCCTTTGGGAACTGGCTTGTTTCACTTGGCATAATGTTCTCAGGGCTCATCATTGCACAGGTCTGGCTCAGAAAGCTCCAGGGCTCACCTTACAGACAAGGAGGCCAAGGCCCCTGCATTCCCATGAGCCGTTGCAAGTAGCAAGGGCCGAACCTGGATGCCTTGATATTTTTGTGCAGGACGCGCTCCCCCTCCCTAGCAGCAAAGCCATCCTATTACCCATGTCCCAGCCTTGCCCTTCTCCCCTTGTGCCCATTTGGGAGGTTCCCAGTCTTATGAAAGGGAAAAGAGCCATCCTCTCATTTCAGTGGTAATGGATAGTAATAAGCCATTCTCTTCCTAAGGCCACAAACCCCCAGTTGCAAAAAAATAAAATAAAAAATGGAAAGAAACTCCTCCTGTCCCCTCTGCATAATTTGAGTTAATCCTTAAATTCCAAAGAGGATTTTAACAATGTCTCTCTAGGAATGGATGTCCTGGTTACCAGGAGATGAGGAGAGATGTCCTTGTCCCCATATGCAGAGCACCTAGAATAGCCTCCCTGGGCTCTCCAGTGATTGAGTCATTCATTAGGTGGGGCTGTGTTTAGGGGACAGCCCTGCAGGAGCACATTCCTATGAGTCTTGTTTCCCAGTGGTGGTGCAATCTGCAAACAGAGCCGAGTACCAGGGACTGCAACGCCTCTGTCTATTGTTGTCCCTCTGTCTCACCTGCTTTGCTGAAATGAAGGAGAAAGAAGCAGGGGCGCTCTGTGGATCAGGTGGCAAGAAAGCGTGACTCTCTGATGTCCTCCATTCACTCTCCAATCTGCAGTACCCTCCCCTTACACAGTGTTGCCTACCACGAGCTAATGGCTTCCCTTGTTTTCCTGGGGAATCTTCCTTAGAATCAACTGCCAAGTGGGGTAGACACTTTCTTATTTTAGTCTGGTCATAAACTCTTGCTTCAGGAAAGAGTAAAGTTTAATTTTGCTTCCAAGATCAGCCCCTTCATGTGACTCTAATCAATAAGATTACTTCTTTTTTTTTTTTCCAGTGCTAAACTCAATCTCAGCACCTCAAGCATGCTGGGCCAGCTCTTAAATGCTAAGCCACACTCCCAGCCCCACAACAAGAGTTTTCTTTGGGGGATGGGAGTTTGGGGTATAGGATTGAACAAGGGGAGAAAAAGAAACAACAGGAAAAGACAACCTCCCTCACAAACATCAATAACCCTTTTTCTTACATGTAAGAATTACTGTCAACCACTATAGATATGAATAATGTGGTCTGGCACTGCTCTATTTATGACTGTGGCAATGAAAATAACTTGGTTCTTAACCAATTATTTTTAAGAGGTGGTAGCACAGTGTTTCTGTGAATGTCGAAAAACAGAAATAGAGCCTTTAAGAATTTCTTCCATCTGCCAGCCTGAGCCCTGGCTGGGTAGCACAGAATAGGCCTCATTGCCCCACATGGGAGCCAGGGGGACCCAGCCGCACCTGGGTGGCCGCCAACTAGCTGGATTCGGCTTCTTCAGCCAGGCTCCGCTTCACTTGGAAACCAGGTAGAGATCACCTTTACTGGGTGGCAGTTCTGACCCCGAGGTAAATAGTGGCATTTACAGGAAGGAGCATCACTGATACCCTGGCAGGCTGTCAGAAGGGTGAGTGCTGCACAGTGACTTGGCTGGGAATACCTTTCAGGTGGTTTGTTCATTTTAGGGACTTCTCTTCACTGGGACGAGGAGGCCAAATCTGGGGTGTTGGTTTTGTGGTTTCAAGTGCCTATTTGGGTTGGAAAGGGCTTGAAAGGCAATGGGGCTCTTTTTTTTTTGGAGAAAGAGCAGACTTTTTACCTTGAAGAAAGATCCAGAGATGATTAAGATGCTGTCCTCCACCCAAGGAGAGGCCTTGCAGGGAGGCAGAGTCGAGTTGTCAGAACTGGGAAAATAAAACCCCTTGATGGCTAGGAGACTGCTCTTGACAAGAGGTGAATAAATCTCTCTACTGATTCTCTTCCTATTACTGAGACCAGAGTGGGAGAGAGTCCTGCCTTAGAATTTGATTTGGCTCAAGGTCAAGAACATTTCAACGTCAAGCCTTCTGCTGGGTCCTTGTATAGCAGAAGGTGGGATGAAGGGAGAAGACTCTGTGGCTGGGAAACGCACTGAAGCCAGCCCCATTTCTTGGTCCCAGGTCCCAGGTATGCTGCAGAAGCAACTGGAAAAAGGCCTAATAGGGGTTGGGAGTGTAGCTCAGTGGCAGAGTGCTTGACTCACATGCATGAGGTCCTGGATTCCAGTCTAGCACCACACACACACACACACACAGACACACACACACAGGAATAATAATTGCACACACACACACACACACACACACACACATACACACATTAGGAACAGGAGAAAGATTATTATATTATGCTGTTAGGGGTGAGGGACATGCCTCTCTTAGTAGGGACACCTGCAGCATTGTGTTTGAGACTAGTACTAGGCTTGAATCATTGTGTGTCCTTGGGGGGAAATCTGTACACTCTTAGATGATGGGGAGTTTGCCTTTGAAAAGAAGAGAATAAGTCTCTATACTGATTCTCTTCCTATTACTGAGAACAACAGGATAGAGAGTAAAGGTGGCGCCCTAGGTGAGGGCAGACAAAACCTGAGATGGAAGCCAGGCTAGCAACCTCAGGGCATCTGGGAAACCAGCCCCTGGGGTGGGGTTAGAATTTTCCCTTTGCCTGAGATTGTGGCTTGACTTATTCAGCATCTGGTGTTAAGGTTCTGTTCTCCCCACGTTTTGGTTTCCTCTAAATTTTCCCTTCCAAATTGTCAGGAAAACTTGTTACACATATCCGTTGTGTTACTGTATCGTGGAGCATCTGGGGAGGGGGTAGCAATAGAAGTGGCTTTCCCTGCACTGGCTGTCTACCTAGATCAGCTATTTCATGTCAACCAAGGGCTGTGATCTTGGGACTTCAATCAGCCCCACTTCCTGTACATGGTTTCTCCAAACTACCAGGGAAGTGGAGCCTTACAAAGAGAACAAGAAACACTTGGGGTACATCATAAATATTCACACAACAGGGCGAGGGCATTCTTAGGGTTTTCTGAGCAGGGGGGGTTGTAACTGTGCCCTCTCACCCCCTCCTCTGTTCACATCAGGTAACTGCAGCAACTCCTCCTGCTCTCTCTGGGGTCCCATGAAGCTGTCTCGTGTCTGCTCACAACACAGTTGTCTCAGCCACCAGCCGGCATCTTTCCACGTCTTCTTGGATGCTCTGGCTCCCCTAGCACGGTTACGAGTGGAGCCCAATCAGAAGCACACATGTCCCAGTGCTGGCTGAACCAATGCTGGGCTACCCACTCCTGGTGCTGCCCCGCCCCCACATGCTGCAAACTCACCTGTGCTCCCAAAGTTCCTCAGGGGTGCCAGCAAATAGCTCCTTGAGTTTTCCCTCTTTAGAAACCTTCCCTCTCCGTCAGGCAGGCGGCTGTGGAAACTGACAGGGAGACAACTGGGAGGCACACAGGGGTTCATTCCCAAAGAGTTCCTTTTCTCAAGCGTTGGCCTCCATCAAAGTTCAAACTATCCCTAAAAATGGATCCTCTTCTCCTTCTTATGTTCCCCCAGGCCCTCGATGATCAGAATTCTGCCTTCTTTCCCAGCCACATCCTTCGCCTCCATCTCGCGGCTCCGCACACTGCCATACGCACTGGGGAGGCTGTGTAAACACGGCTCTCTGCCTGGCATACTTTCCTTTAGCCTCACCCACTTTCTCCCCCTTCTTTGGACTGAATCCTACTCATCCTTCTGGTTCAGCTGTGACATCATTTTCTCTAGGAAGCTCCCATGCCCGGTGCCAGCATTGGAGATGGCGGCCCCCTGGGCGGCCCATGCCATTATCCAAAGGCTGTCAATTAACACGGCCACCTCTCTTGACTTCTCCATCTTCTCCCCACCCCTGTGTGTTCCTGGAGGGATCTTATATTGATTTTGTCGTTTTATTGCAGTGCATAGAGGAGCTAAGTCACTTGTTGAATGTATATGCCTTCCATCTTCTTTCAAGACAAGTTTTTCTCCCTGTGGGAGCGAGTCTCCATTGTGCATGGACTCCCAACAGACTTAGGCCATTGGTCCTCTAGCCTGAACTCCAATGTAAAGCATCTATTAGAGATGGGAAAAAAATTAAGGTGTTTTTTCCCCTATTCTCATACAACAAAATGCTTCTGATACCAGATCAGTAGGTTTTCCTCTTTCTTATCAAACAAATCTGACATCAGAATCTCCAAGGGACACTATATCTGGATATCCTTGGATTCAATTCAGTTCTGGATTCAAATCAGATCCCACAGGTGGTGCTCCCTTCAGATATCCATCAAAAGCTGCAGCTTGTTTTACCTATGTTCCTGACAGGCTAGAAATCAGGGTTCCCAAGACCTCCTTGAGTTCAATTCATTTGCTACAGTGGCTCATAGAACTAAGAGAGGCATTAACTTGTATTTACTGATGTATTAATTAAGGATATAATGAAAGATTTGGATGAAGAGCCAGATGGAAGAGATGCATAGGGCAAGGCAGAGAGAAAGGGCGTGGAGATTTCCTGCTGTCTCTGGGCAGACACGCCACCTCAGGGACCCTTAGTCGGTTCAAGGACTCCTCTATCGTCATTTGATCTGTGGTAGCTCCCCAAACACTATCCTTTCAGGTGTTTGTAAGTCTTTGTCATGCAGGCATGATTGATTACATCACTGGTCACGTGACCTCCTTGACCTTCAGCTGTGGGCCAGGAACCAGCTGCAGGAACCACCAAATAGGTATTTCTTATTAAATCACAATATTACAGCATCTGAAAGGTATCACTGGGACAAGGGTCCTGAGGAGGTACCCCCAAAACAGCGGTGAGCCTCAACTCAGACCATGAGGCTCCTTGACCTAGTCACAAAAAGGTTCAAAGTGAGATTGAATTTACTGAGAGAAGGAAAGAAGTACACGCTCTGGGACACAGAATAGACCACGGGCATTGGAGAGGAACGTGCATATTTACACACGTAAGATGGATAGGACAGGGGCATGATCTAAGATGATGTTTTTGGTTCTCCTTTGTGTTGGCAACTGGACATGTTGTCCATTACCAGGACAGCGGTCACTTGCTGACATGTTGAAAATGACTTTAGTGAGAGGTTCTTTTCTTTTCTTGTTTGTGATGCATTCTGCTTTGTGAATTTAAACAGGACTACATGGGGGTACCTGTGGATGAGGTCTAACGACCAATTTAATAGTGCTGTTGGTGACCTTTAAATCTGGACTTTTAACTCATGTGAAGTTAGACTTTGAATGTGGACTTTAGATATGACCACACTCTTGTCTGGAATGTCTCCTTTCTACCTCTCTTGTATCTTCTAACCAATCTCGATAGGGATGGACCATAGTTCTGCTTTAATATGAATAGGAATCCAGTTGAAATGCAGGTTCTGAAGTGGGAGTGGTGCTGCATCTGCAATCCCAGTTGCTTGGGAGCCTGAGGCAGGGGGATACCAAGTTCAAGAGCAGCCAGGGCAACATAGTAGAGTTCTATCTCTAAAAAAGATGGGGGGCGGGGTGTGGGAATATAACTCAATGAGCACTAGCCCAGCATGTGTGAGGCCCTGGGCTCCATCTTTAGCACTGAAGGAAAACAAAAAACAAAAACAGAGCAGGTTCTGACTTGGGAGTTGGGGGTGCTGTTAGTTGGGGGCCCATGCTTTCAGTGGAAAGTCACAAAACTGGAGTCTTACGCAGTTTCTTTAAACTGATTCCAGGATTCTGATGTGTAAGAACCAGTTGGCACTGTGCGTGGTGATGCACCCCTGTAATCCCAGTAGCTCTGGAGGCTGAGGCAGGAGGATGAAAGTTCAAAGCCAGCCTCAGCAGTTTAGTAAGGCCCTAAGCAAATTAGTGAGACTCTGCCTCAAAATGAAACTTTAAAAGGGCTGTGGATGTAGCTCAGTGGTTAAGCGCTCCTAAGTTCAATTCTCAATACCAAATAAATAAATAAATAAATTACTATTTAAGCTATTCTTATTGGGGTTTTATATTCCTTGCAGTCAAACTATAAGTCAATATACAATTTTGCTGTTGTTGTTGTTGTGATGAAGGTCTCACTGTTACCCAGGATGACTTTGAACTCCTTGGCTCAAGTGATCCTCCTGCCTTAGCCTGCCAAGTTGTATGACTACAGGCACATGCCACCCCTTGCTTGTATACAACTTGTTTTCTCTCATTAGCACATTAACATACACTATAGAAATATTTTTTAAATATGAAGAAGTAGAAATAGAGGGAGAAAAATAGAGTCCCCAGACATCAAAGCAGTGCTAACATTTTGACCCATTTTCTTCCAGGGTTGTCAGTTGTGATTATAAGGTACAACGTATTTGTGCCCTTTTTTGATTACCTTTTAAAAGAATGAGCATCTTAGGGATTTCCTTTGGGGATGATGAAAATATTCTAAAATTTATTCTGGGGATAGTTGTATAAGTCTATGAATATACTAAAAACTGTTGAATTATACGTTGGGTGAATTGTATAACATACAAAGAATATCTCAGTGAAACTATTATTAAAAGTTTCAAATAGGGGCTGGGGATGTGGCTCAAGCAGTAGCGCGCTAGCCTGGCATGCGTGCGGCCCGGGTTCGATCCTCAGCACCACATAC